CTCTATATTTTTCCTATATATTTATTTTACGAGAAACAACAATTTTAGGACGTTTCGAAAAATTGTTTTTAATAAATGAGTTTCCCTTGTTAAAAACTTGTTAAGCTCAATAATGATTTTAACATGCCTGTAGAAAGGAGAAGTTTTGTATTATCTTAACTTTTTCAACTTGGCATATGTCCTCAATGAGGAAAATCCTATTAATAAGTCAACTGAAAATATGAGTGCTAAGGAAAAGAAATCTCATAAGAAGAAAGTCCAAAAAAGGGAGAAAGATGAATATGGTTGTTACAACTCTTTACTTAATTGCCATTCTGATGAGCTTTATGATTATTATGAAAGAACTTATTCCATTGCCATAAAAAATTGGGATGCTTTGCAAAAAAAAAAAAAAAAAATGACACTGAGGAGGCTGGTGCGAAGATGTATGTTGGTAGTTGATGGTTGTGCTTCCAAATGGTGGATGACAAGTTGGTGGTGTTCCAAATTTGAGAGTTACAAATGCTTGCTCATGAGTTCAGATCAGAAGGCATATGAATTGATGACAACCTCAAAGTTGTAGCCATTATCAACAAGCTATTGCCTTTATGGAACGAGTTCCAAAAAATGGTGAGTCATAAGCAAAAGGAGATCATCGTGGAAAATCTTTTAACTTGTATTCGAGTTGAAGAGGAGGCAAGGAATTAAGATGCTCAAATTACAAATGGAGGTAACATATAAAAGGTAAAGTTTGTTACCACTAATGATAGTTTTCCCAAAAATAATAATTTTAAATATAACACGAATTAAGATCTAAGAAGAAAATTGTTAAAAAGAATTATGGGAACCATATTGTTGGGAGACCAAGTCAAAATTTTAAGAAACAAGGACCTCTTATAGCAATGTATGTTTTGTGTATGGCAGGTTTGGGCATACTGCTAGAGTTTTCAAATTTTGGAAGCGTGAGCCTGCTCCATAGGTCAACGTAATCGAGGAGCCCTTTGTGGTGATGTTATTTGAAATAAACATGCTTAATGGTGGTGAAGGATGGTGGATTGATTTTCATGTCTTAAGGCATGTTTGTAAAGACAAATCTTGGTTCAAAATATTTTCTAAATATGATGTTGAAAAAGAAGTGAGACTTGGTGATTGTCATACAATCAAGGTTCTTGGCCGAGGAAAGGTGGAATTAAATTTTATCTCTAGAAAAACATTGACTTTCAAAGATGTGCTTTACATACCTTAAATGAGGAAAAATTTAGTTTCTAGATTTCTTCTTGGTAAGGTTGGCTTCAAAAATGTTTATGAATTTAGGCATTATATTTTGACTAAAAATGATATATTTGTTGGGAAAGGCTATGCTTGTGATGGCATGTACAAGTTGAATATTGATATGAATAAAATTCCTTCAAGTTCTACTTATATGATCTCTAACACTATTTGGAATGCTCATTTATGTGATATTAATAATAAATATATAACAAATATAAGTAATCTTGGATTAATATGCAAAGTAAATTATGATTTTGAAAAAATGTGAATTTATAGTTTGACTAAAATCACTAAAAAAACCTTTTAAAAATGTTGAAAGAAAAATTGATTTATTGAAATTAATTTATAGTGATATTTGTGAATTTAAAGGAGTTTTGTCATGTGGTGGTCATAGTTGTTTTATTACTTTCATTGATGAATTTTCAAAATAAACTTATATTTATTTGATTAAGCATAAGAATGATGCTTTTGAAAATTTCAAATCTTTTCAAATAAGCTTGAAAACTAGTTTGGAAGGAAAATTAAAAGGTTTAGAAGTGATAGAGGTGGGAAATATGATTCAAATGATTTTAACAAATTCATACAATCTTTGGGTATTATTCATGAGACTGCTCCTCCATATGCATATTCTTTTAATGGTGTAACTGAATGTAAAAATCATACTTTAATTGATTTGACTAATGCTATGCTTGTTAGTTCAGGTGCACCATTTAGTTTGTGGGGTGAAGTTGTTTGACAGCATGCTATATTTTGAATCGTATTCCTAATCGAAAGTTTAATCTGACTTCTTTTGAGTTGTGGAAAGGCTATAAGCCAAATATTAATTATCTCAAAACTTGGGAATGCTTTGCTTATGTAAGATTGACAAATCCAAAGAGATCAAAGTTGGATGTAAAAGCTACTAACATGTGTATTTGTTGGATACACTAGTACAAGTTCTAATGTTGCTATTGAGTTTGTAGATGCTATATTTCATAAATATAGATTTCCTTTTAAACTTAAGAAAAATGGAAGTCATCTTTTTTCAAAGCAAAATAATTTCAAACCTAGTTCCTTGGTTTCATCACCATTTCAAAATAAAGGAGACAGATTTTGAACCTAGAAGAAGTAAAATAACACGTAAAGAAAGAGATTTTGGTTCAGATTATTATGTATATAATATACATAGAGAACCATTGTCTTTTCAAGAAGTTTTAGCTTCTTCTAATTCTAAATTTTAAAAAGAAGCTATTAATGATGAAATGGATTCTTTGATTTCTAATAGAACTTGGAAGTTGGTAGATTTACCTCCTAGTTATAAAATAATAGGATTTAAATGGGTTTTGAGGAAAAAAAAAAAGAAATTGGATGGAACTATAGATAAATATAAAGAAAGACTAGCTGCAAAAGGTTTTAAACAAAAAGAGGAACTATAGTTTTTTGACACTTTTTCACTTGTAACAATAGTGACTTCCATTAGAGTACTTATAGCTATAGCCACCATTCATAACATGCTCATCTATCAAATGGATGTTAAAACAACATTTTTAAATGGAGGCTTGCATGACAAAATTTACATGGATCGAGCTAAAGGTTTTATTGTGCCTAACCAAGAGGACAAGATATAGAAATTGACTAAGTCTTTTTATGGTTTGAAATAAGCCCCAAAACAATGGCATGAGAAATTTGATACTTGCTTGATAGAAAATGATTTTAAATCAAGTGAAACTGATAATTGCATATACTTTGAATTTTTCAATAATTATCATGTTATCATATGTTTACATGTTAATGATCTCTTGATTTTTGGGTCAAGCTTAGAGGTGATTAACACTACTAAGTCATTGTTAAATAAGTATTTTAACCTAAAAGATTTGGGTGAGGCTAATGTGATTCTTGGCATGAAAATAACTAGAAGTGGTAGTGGAATCTTTCTTGAGCAGTGCTATGATATAGAAAAAATTTTGAAGAAATACAATTATTATAATTCTAGACATGTAATAATGCCTTTGTTACCCAATGTGCATTTATATCCCACTTTGCATGATAAAGATATCCTCAATCAAAAGGAATATGCTAGTATCATTGGTAGTGTATGGTATCTTACTAATTGCACAAGACCTGATATTTCTTATGCAGTTGGAATTCTTGGGAGATTTACTAGCAACCCTAATTCCTTTCATTGGAATTGTGTTAAACACTTAATGGGATATTTATGTACTACCAAAGATTATGATTTATTTTATCAAAAATACCATGCTATACTTGAAGGATTTTGCAATGTTGATTGGAACTCCTTGTTAGATGATTCTTTATCTATTTCAAGGTATATTTTTAAGATGGGTGGTTGTGTTGTGAGTTGAAAATCTAAAAAATAATAAATAATTGCAAAATCAACTATGGAGGTAGAAATGATATCATTAGCACTGGCTTTCGAGGAAGCTAATTGGCTAATAGACTTGCTATTTGAAATTCCTTTATGGGGAAAACTACTGCCTCCTATACTCATTCACTGTGATAATACTGCTACCATTTACAAAGTGAATAACTATTTTTATAATGGGAAATCCAGATCTATTCAAAGGAAATATAGCATTGTGAGGTCCTACTTTTATAATGGGACAATCAACGTGGATTATATACAATCAAGTGAAAATATTACTGATCTATTTATAAAAGCTTTGGCTAGAGAGGTCTGAATTGCATTGAGGGGAATAGGATTGAAGCCCAAAGAATGTGGAACTTCCTATGAGGATACCCAACCCAATGATCAAAATTCTTGAGAATTTGGATTTTGAATGTGTTGAATACCACTTAAGATTTTTTTCAAAATAAATGAAAAATCAAGTGTGAAAAATATAAGAAAAAGGGGAGTTGCCACTCATCCAAATTATAAGGTGGGACAAGTCACCTAAAACAGATCTGCGCAGAGATCGAGATTCGAGGGTTTGGTTAAGAGTGAGGAAGGGTATACGTGCACCTCACAATCCTCCATTTAAACACGGTTGCATACTTTAAAATTGGGAGTTTTGATTCAACTTATTCATCATATTTATATTTGGGTCTTAATAAACAAGTTTGAAAAAGGGAAACCAAATTGAGACATATTCTAATTTTTTGGATTAAAATGGACTAAATCAAAGACATGCACGCACAAGAACATAAACAAGAAGTTAAGGAACTAACTTGATTAAATTCGAAAGATAAAGGACTGATTTGATTAAATTCAAAACATAAACGACTGATTTGAACAGATTTGAAAACTAGGACTAAATTGCTTAATCGTAAAACCCTTGGGTGAAATTGAAATGAAGAAAGATAATTTTTGACTTTTGACCAAGATTAGAGGAAATTAATTAATTAAATGATTGATTTGACACTAATTAAAATTAATTAAAATCAATTAATCATATTTATCAACTTTTAATTAAGATCATGTATCTAATAATCTCAAATCAAAGTCAATAAACATAATTAATTTATTCTAATTAAAGTTAATTAATTTTATTAATCTTAAATTAAATTAATTAACCTAATTAATTAGTTACATATGTATTCTTTTTTTTGACCTTTTTAGTTTTTTTTATTAGATTGGGTCGGGTTGACCCAACCCAAAAACACAAGCCGCTGCTTAAAATAAACAAAAAACACATCAAACAC